GAAAGAGCTGAGAACCCGCGGGTCCCAGCCCTGCGGGGATGGAGGGAGCCTGGGGCAGGCACTGATCCGCTGCGCCGTCTGAGCCCGCACGTGGAGCCGTGCGGACCCACGAGCGTCGGACGGGGGTACCTGTGGGTTCGAATTTTGCTCTTCCACACTAGTTGTGAGAAGTGGGACAGATCCTCACCTCTCCAAGTGTGCTTTCTCACCTAGCAAGTGGGCTAATAGGACCTGCGCCGCAAGAGAGCTGCGACCTTCCCTGCAGGACGCTGCAGGGAAGAGTGGGACACAGGGCCTCTCGCTGGAAGAGCCGCGAAAGTTCGGCGTCAGCAGAGCAGAACTTCTTTCTGGCTCTGAAATTGTGCCTGGTCCTTGGCTCTGGTCTGGGCCGGATCTGTGGCTCTGTCCACGAAAAAGGATCATTTTCTTTGGTTAGGAAACAGCGACAGTAGAGAAGCCTGCGTTTCCCCCTGTCCACGCGTGGGTGCGCGCGGTTGTGGGTCGTAGAGTGATTCGTGAACTGATCTGCAGGAACGCGTTTGTGTGTGTGTGTTTGTGTGTGCCTGCACGTGTGTATGTGTGTCCACGCACAAACAGGAGCGGCTGTGGTTGTCCGGGAAAATCCATGTCAAGCAGTCGAAGAAATGCCTTCTCCCAAAGGCTGCCTCCCCCTTCTCTCAGCACCCACTTCCTGGGTGAAGAGTTTCAGTCAAACTAACGGAATCCGGAATCCGACTCGGCCGCGAGAGGGGTGGGGACGGGAGGGGTGGTTCTGTCCCGGAGCCACCGGTTTGGGGATAATTACTTTTAATGTCAGAAAGATTTAGTTTAATATCATCTCTATTAGGCTGCCGGGAGGGTAATTAAACGGGATGCGTCGCAGCCGGCAAACAGATGGCGTCTGCTTGCTTGGAGGCCGCGGGCAAACAGCGCAAAAGTCAACGCCTCCCGGGTCCCCCGTTGGCGCCCCGGCCCTTTACTTCTCAGCTCCACAGAATCCTCGCTCTGGCCTCCCTGCCCCCACCGGAGCCTCGGACTCCCGTCGCGCCTTCGGTCCCCAGGCCCAGCCTCAGCCTAGATCCCACCTCGACTCCCTGGGTGTGGGCATGGAGGAAGGGGCCAGGGGCCAGTCGCGAATCCGGGTTGGGGTGGATGGTCTTGGCCTGACGTTCTCACTCCAAAGCCCCAGCCTCAGCAGAGGTGTCTGCAAAAGATTCCAAGCTTAGAACTGTGTGTGTGTGTGTGTGTGTGTGTGTGGACAGGCCCTATGCGCTCAGCTGCCTCATTTGTTCCAGAGGGCCATGACTCTCTCTGCCAGGGTCCTAAGGAGAGGGGTAAGGATGGAGCTCGGGACAGGCGATGGCACATGTATGAGGATGTGCTGGGTCTGGGTCTGGGAGTCTGTGAGGATCGTACTGTGAGGGCACACATCAAGTGGAGGTCCCAGGATGAGGACATGTTAGGGGAATTCCACGAAGTCAGACTTTCTAGAAAGGTCCCCTTGGGTGGGAAGGCAAGCAGGAAAGGTGAGTGTGTGCCCTGTGTGCAGTCACTGCGGCAGGTATGAGGTGCGTCCAAAACTTTGGCAGAGTGAGGTCACGCATGCGTCATTGTGTGTCCTGGTATGAAGCCACACTCAGGTTTGCTGTCTCAACCTGGGCATGCTGCCCCCTGCCAGTGGCCTAGGAAGCTGGGCTAGCCTTGTGAAGGGGTGGAGGTGGTGAATTTGACCCAGATGAGTTTACTCTGCCTTCCCCTATAGCATATTCACCCACTTGAGCACCTCAACCTGGGTGAGGGCTCCTGGGAGGAAAGGTTGTGAGGTCCCAGATCTATGGGAATGGGAACAAGGAAAGATGAGTGAGAGAACAGAGGCACCTGCAATGGGAGTGGGTGGATTCCCAATGGATGGCAAGGATTGTGTCCCAAGGCCCCATCTCCCTCCTAAAAAAATGAGATTCCTTACACCTTGGCGGGATCCGTGTTCCTGAGTCCTCGTGGCTGGTCCCTTGGCTCCCGCAAGTTCATCAAGACCCAAGTGCGGAAACTGCAGGTGGCCTGGCTTTAAGTGCAAAGAATACCTGGGCTACCGCCCTCCCCCACCCTGAAACCTAAGCGGGTTTGGGTAGTTTATTTTGTTTTCGGTTTAAAATAATTTCCTGAAAACTTGGTCCCAAAAAGAACTCCAGAGCAGGTGCCTAGTCGCCCCCGCTAGCCCCCCCCTCCCGCCGGCGCGCTCCCCGCCCATCCCCCCACCAGGGTGCACTTGGAGCGTGACTCCCAGGTGTTGGAAGGTGGGGTCTGGGTTTGCGCTCCTGGAAGACAGATAGTTCCTAAAGCACTCCCTACCCTCACTCCACGCGGGAGACCCTTGCATGAGTAGGTCCTTTACTCTCCCAAGCCCATTCTTCAGTTCCTAGGAGTGGAATTGCAGAGTGCAGAGATCCGGTTTCTATTGCTAACAGATTTTCCTGAACTGAGTGCCCTCTTGGCCAGGCCAGGTCCACTTTCTGGAAGCTCCCTGGCCGGTAGTTGCTCGCACCATCCCCACTTCCCTTCTAGCCTCCGCCTCCGGGTTGGCTTCTTCCTGGGGAGCGTGCCTGTGGCTCTACCCCTCGCGCAAGGTTCCGCGGTCTGTGGCTGGGGCTCTTTTGGTCGCGCTTTTCTCCCCTTGTCCCTAGCGCCAGGGGTCAGAAGCAGCTAGACTACCAGGGCGCGGCCCAACGGTCGGGCCAGGCGGGAGGGGCTGCCTCCTGAGACCGCGAAGCCCGGGGCCCGAGTCTGCGTGCCCAGTAAGTCCGCGCCCGGGACCGCGCCCCCCAGATCCCAGCCGCCCCGCAGGCTCGAAAGGGCTTAGCAGAAACGCACAGTTGAAAGTGGAGGAAGAACGACGGTAAAGCTCATTTTTTCTCATTAGTTAAATGAATTTCCTTCACTCTAAAGGAGGGAGAGAAAAATAGAGAATAAAAACGAGAGTGACAGAACATTAGAGATTAGAAGGAAAGACGGGGTGGTGGGGGCAAAGGACAGAGAATCAGCTAGAGAAACCGAGGGCGACCCCGCCCGAGATCTGCTGCGGCATTAATTCCAGATGTTGCCATTCAAAAGGGAAACAAAATCCGAAACCTGTTACCTCCTCTGCAGTCGGAGCGGGTCCTCAGGGCCATGACGTCAGGACAGAGAAGAGTAAGGCGCAAGTTAAAACTGTTCCTGGGGGTCCCCAGCGACCTTGTCTCCTGCGGGGAAGGACTGACAGACGGATGCACGTCCTGCGTCCAGGAGGATCTGGGAGACACAGAAGCCACGTTTACTGTCGCTTAAAAAGACTTTTTAAACAATCTGTTTGTTAATTTAAAAGGGCAAAAAAGAATCCCTATA